ATTGAAAGAAAGAAGCAATATTGCATCCACACTTGAGGGGAGTGCAGGAAAAATGTGCCAGGGAGCTTTTAATTTCTTACCTCTACTGCATCAATTTTAAATTTCTATATTCAAAATCTCGTAGCTTTGCAAATTATTACGGTTATTTACAACCACTGTTATAATAGGCTTATTTTTTTCTGAAACACTTAACGATTTTTATCGCTGATGCCCACATTCTTTAAGCGCTAATTAAATATATTGTTACACCAGGTGTACTGGAAGTTAATCATGCATATTCATAACACCGCCTGAGGCCAAAAAGGGCTCCCTCTCGTGATCCTGCCGGAACCGTATATAGGGGGAGAAAATCGAACCCACGAGGCAACCTTTCTGCGTGCGCATACCGAATGCGCAGAGGACGCACACGTGCATTGATCGCTGATGGTGGTTAGGTACCCACAATGCTTTGCATCGGATATTATTTCCTTTACACAATTCTGTGAAGGAGATTAGCGGTCATAGGGCGATAAGAGAGAGGAACATTTTACTTAGGCCTGCTGCAAGACTGCTGTACATTAAAACACAACTTTGGGAATTAATAATTAATCGCATACATCATTACGTCACTAACCATAACTATAGTGATAGGTTTCCGGAATTGCGAAGGCGGTTGCAGGGATTTGCCGCGCATTAATTAACTAGCTACACAAGGCAATCGCCAACTTTCCACGAACGGCCTGATCTAATAGCGGTTCAGACGTTGCCTGATGAGTGCCAACACGCTTCTCAGCTATCGACACTGCATGGGATATCCATGCTTACAAATAGGACCAATTGCTTCTTTTTTTCCGGGGGATGGAATACGTGGAAACTCCCCCGGCACATCTGCTGGGAAATTGGGGCAAATTCGCTTGCGATCCGCACTCAAGCGAGAGCGGAGGAAGTGTAAAAGTTGTCCCTGTAATTGAATCTGGCTCCCAGCTGTGTTAGTATTACCCGCACGGGCCTTGGTAACCACTGCGCGTAATATACGCACACCGACAAAAACCGAGATGTGCTCATTTGTCACCGAAAGCGCGGGAAACATTTCCCGCCATTTCACTCAACAAACACACAAGCGGCGCGCATGATTAGGCCAAGCCATTGCAGGCGGGAAGGCATGGTGGACATAGTGGAGTTAAGTTGAGGCCGATGCCAGACCGTATGGATTGAGTTGTTTTAATTGGAGTTTATTTCATTACGGGCTGAGAACCGATCACCAGGGGAGTTTTATTGGAGTGATTTTGCGTTGGCGAGCCCACACCTTGGTGTACGTGCCGTGTCGTTTTACAGCTCCAAGCCATTTCTTTTTTCAATTTTGATTTTTTTTTCCCGATTTGACTTGTGAAACTACAAATTACGTTGAATCGATACCGAGTTTTATATTCCCATATTTAGTTCCATATAATCCTTCTTTTTTACATTATTTCAACCAAAAAAACCAAAACAATTGTATGTACGCATATCAAAATGATGTGTTCATTCATGTCTCCATTACAAAAGAGCTTTATAAGTTATGCATGGTACGCATGATCTTTGCCCAAGTGCCTTTTTGCCCAGCACTTAAACAATGAATGTTTAGTTAAACTATAGATCTACAACATGGCTGTGATCGTAGGTGTTTTGATTATACATTTCGACGTGGAAGTGTAAATTGCATTTAATTACAAAAACATATTGCACAATATCTCGATTGTTGAGGTAGAGCGAAGCTTGACACCTGAAACAACATACAACATAAATTCCTAATGATGAAAGACCAAAAACAAAAAATAGCGAACAAATTCATTGTACGTTTTATCAAATACTCGCGAATCCCCGTTTGTACGATGTTGTACAAGCGATTGGGCCTGTTCCTTGAAAAATGCCGTCGGAAGACGTTCCGATTTTTGAGTAAAACAGCCTTAAAAGCACGTTCGTTTTCAGGCTCTAAGTTGCAACTAACCGTACATGTTGACAATCGAGAGTTTCACTTCACATTTCCTAATGTCCCTACCAAAAGACACGCGCCCTTATTCAATAAGTTCCAACGAATAACCAATTATAATTAATCATCTAAATGGAATTATATCGATTGCAATAAAAACATGCTGCAATAATCCCATATAATCATTATTGCGCCATTCTACTATACACACGCGTACGTTTCTTCCCGACTTGCCTGCACATTTTGAAGCACGGGCGCATTATGCAGTGATTTCTGAGAATATCAAACAATCAGCATTCATAATAAACTAAAGGGAAACATTCATGAAATATTTGATTTCGCAATGGGGGAGTCCATTTTGCTGGGAGCGATGCGTCGACGCGCCCATGAAGCGGGGAAGTCATTATCAGGCGCACGAATATCCGAGTAATTATTCCCATAGCCCGGAGCGCGGAAGGATACGCCAGCGCGCGCTTGGTGATGTGCCTTTTAACAGATCGTTCTAGGACAATACGGAGTTAGGGAGTTGGGGTTTGTTTTAAATTCCATTTGCTTGTTGACTTTGGTCCATGTTTGGCGGGTTCATGTTTTGAGAGTCTGATATCGCTTCATCGTGATGTTATGAAAAAAAGAGGAAACGTCTGGCCAATTACTGAAGTTCACCCGTCAGAGAGAGTGCAAAAATAAATAATTGGCCCGTTTTTATAATTTAATGACTGAATCATCTAAGTCTGGCAAGAACCCCCCAAAAAGCAAAATCGATACTGCTTGTGGCATTTTTCGGTCTATGCCGGCTTAGGACACATCATGTCGCTTATTTGCTGCCCACAATGGAGCGTGGTCATGCAAATTATCAGACAGTTTTATCTTTATGCAGTAAACAATACATTGACTCAGTTCAAAGGCAGCGTTATAGATCATTGCACTCAACAAAATTCTATACGTTGTAATTCGTGACATTTAGGGCTCCTATGCTTTGTATCGTAATTCAATAACTTCGAAAAATATAAGCAGATATTTATTCCGCTAATTTATGAAAACCGTGAACTTAATTCACGCAATTTATTTTCTCAGGCTGAATTGATTCTTACATCAATATTTGTATTAGTCCAATGATTAATGAAACGTGGCCAATTTTGTAACTATTTGTGTTGAAAGTGCCCACACTCGATGATAATGGTATTTCTTTTCATGCTCACAAAAAAATCCCTCCGAATAAAATATATATAAGGCAAAAAATGTTGCATAATGCGTCTTGTTGTTGACTCAGTATAAGAGCACTTTTGCTAATCGCTCCACGGTGGTAGTAGAAGTAAACCTAATGGACGAATTAATCAATGTCGTATCATGGTAGCTTGACTCTACTTTAGTGAGGGTACGCTGGAAACTAAAAAATGCTATGTTATAATAAATTATTAGAAGCAAATTTGACACATAATGTACCACAAAACAATGACATGAATATGTAACAACGTCTAGGCTCCTCGCTGAAGCTGTAAAATTTGAGTACTTGCGTAAGTGTGTAGTTGTTTAATAGTCAGTAGACCTGTAAATGGATCTGGTAACTTCAGTTTCAGGTTGTACAGTACTGTTAAATCAAATTCCAGGGGGTTCTTTTGGTAGATACGTCTGGGATTACGACCGTGTGAATGCGACTGACCAATCACAGTTGCTCTTTCATGTGATATCGATCTTACCAAAAATTCTGGGTTTAGTTCCGCGAGTTGCCATAGCGTATCCTACATGTTCGTTATCCGAGCACATTTTTTTCAAAGGACGCGGGGACGCCAAATTTTTAGCTATAACGATGTGGTACAATGTAGTTATTTTTAACAGCAGTTTGTCACAATGCTGGAACCTATGGTTAAGGTGTCCCTTGCGTTTGTGTGATCACGTGGTGGGATACGAGTTAGTGGTTTATGTTAAGTTAATCCATTTATTTTTCAGAAGTCGGGAATAATAGCAGCGTCAGAACATGAGAAAACATGTTTAATATAATAAAGATAGAATGATTATAATTTGGTATTTGGGTTAAACGGACTGTCACATACATTCAATTGACTAACCATGTAAATTGCTATTTAAATTCTAGAAAGGCAGACTACTCATAACCCCTCAATTTCAATAAATGGAGATTCCTCCAAATTTAAAAAACACGCAATTTTGCAAACAACGTTGTTCCAGGTCAATTTTGTGCCGACCACAATCTCCAAGAAACTAGCAAATTTATTAATTCAATTTGATGCAGGGCATTGGCGGGGCCACTCGGTGCGTCTTCACCCGATATCATTAGCGGAACCGGACCGCCAAACTGATCGGGTCCCGAGGCCACAAAACACCGATGATCTTGAGACACCGCTCTGATGTCCTTAAGACAAAAACAAAATCTTCCCCGGACTCCGAGGATTAAATTTCGTGAAATAAATCATTATCCCGGAGCAAATGACCTTATCAGAGAAACAATTTGATTGTGTAAATGGTGGGCGACCAGAGCTTTATTTTTTGTATATACAGGTTTCTTAAAGGCCTTGAGAAAAAGCAATTTCTAGGAGTAAAATGTCATTATGTACAAAGTTCTTCATTTATATCAAAAATATACACATTTTGTGTGGATGTTATTCTATACGGATATTTGTCCCGTTTCATTTGTGTAATTAGAGTGTCAAGCCAATTGCGCAATAGTTTGTAAGATCTATGTAAAAAAAAATACTCAATGTTGTGTTGCTTGTTATAGAGTTTTTTTCTTTGACAAAAAAAGTTAATAATGTAGAAACTGTGCCTATACCTTTTGGCCTGATTGTTTTGCGACTTTTTTCGTGCAATGTTAATTGGAGAATTTCATCGCAGCAACTGAACATAATTTTTTTTTTATTCTAAATATGAAAGCAATGCAAATAACTTAGCAAGCCAGGAAAGAGAACATTGGATTACCTCAGATATCGGGTGTTTTTTAGCAATATATTTCGTGTAGTCATTAATTAGGAATGATTCCAAATTGGGACAAGAGTCGAAGATGGGCCATTTTTCAAAGTAAGTAATTTGGCTGGCCTACCTGCTTTAACGGCTGCGAAGGGATCAGTGGAGGCTATCCTGGCCACGGTATAATCCAATCGGGACGAGGGTAGGATATTTTCATTCTGGTTCAGGTGTTGAAAGGAGAGGCGAACCATCTCATCCTCGTCGGGCGACGGCTGTTCTAAGATTACACCTAGGGAAAAAAACAAAATTCTCGTTATAAAGTGACTACTTGTTAAAAGGACTAAATGATAATACTGATAGCTTGTTTGTTTGAGTCATGAAATAGTCAACGGCCATCTCATCTTCGTCTAGCGACCGCTGTTCTATCATTAGGCTACACTTGAACATGATACTCATTAGGAACATTACTTCTTAAACGGACTAATTACAATAAGGAGTGTGTTGGATTTCAGTCATGAAATAGTCAGTTATCATATCATCTTCATCGGGCGACGGCTGTTCTAGTGCACCTTGGGGGAAGAACTTTAGTTCTTCAAGGAAATAAACAGGTGTGTTATGTGTTAGTCATGAAAGAGTCAATAATGATTTTGTTTCCTTTGCCCATTTTAAATGACATACATCTATGTGCTTTGGCTTCATCCAGTGGCGTATCTAGCGGAGGAGCAAGGAATTTGTCCCCACTTTATCATGTCAAAACATTTCGTAATTTTACTTCACAGCACCTTCCTTTCTCACTCGGTTCTAGCGTCCCTGCCACTTTTTTAGATACTTTATCAACTTAAAAAAAAAAAAAAAGCAGTTTCGTCCACCACCTTCAACCAAAATCTAGAAATGCTGCTGGCACCATCCCATACCTACATTTGTTAAAATGTATTGTCACCGTTGCTAAAAATATTTACTACAAATTGAAATAAATTTAGGTACAGGTGAAAGCCATCAGACCATTTGTATAGGCTGCCCCAAATTTTGAGGCCATCCCTGATATAATATTAGAAGCTGATCCCTCGATATACTTATGGTCCCTAGCGGGATTTGAACCATGGTCGACAAAGCGGGGGAAAATGGAAGGACAAAAAAGGCCAGAAAAATGACTAAGAAAAGGCAAGCTTGACTGTACAATGAGCCAGTCCCACACAACCACACCATATACTATGTTGTAAAAATTAATATTGGGATAAAAAGAGAATTCGACTGGAGCGGGATTTGAACCTTCGACCTCCGAAAGTTACATACCCTTGCTCAACCCAGTATTTATTGAAACTAGAAATAGATTGATTCAAGTTCGTTAATTCCCAATGAACCGTGCACTGAATGCAGGTCCCGGCCCAATGCACAAGCAAAAGCACCCCGAGAATTAAAATAAAATATCTGGCATTTTCTGACAGCATCATAATCTTGTAACGGCACGGATTACCGTACACTTCGGCAGTCCGCGCGTTTGCTTTGTGCACTCCACATAATCTATTTATCGGGAATATCAATGGCGGATTAGTCCAGAGAATTCCCATGGTGCTCCTGACATTATTTACTCAGGAAAAGCCAAATACTTACACATACACCACGGAGTGAATAAAATGAAATGGTTATTGGGTTATTCCAGTTTCCTTATTGAGAAATATTGGGCATATTTTGCATGGTCGAATAGATCCTATGCATCTGACGTCACATCTGAGGGTAGGTCTTTGTTCCTAGGTGATACGCATGAGTAGACACATTGTACTTTCAATTAATTTAAAGGGAATATACAACATTTGCAAACATCGAAAAAACAAAATACCAAAGTTTTACGAAATACCGTACTAGGATGTTGGCAAATGGCGGTCTTAAGCATCTTGTAAAATTATGGCACCTGGTGTGAAGTCATTTTCAAGAAAAGTGGTATTTTATTGTTAATTTCCAACGGTGGTCGGCCGACCACCGTTGGAAAAATCTAACTATTTTTCAACTACTGCTCCAAATTTACCATTTTTTTCAGTCCACATTTTGTTTGCTATCGGTTACATGTTCATGAATGGGTGCAGGCCAGCTAGACTGGTTCCATTACCTTACAGTTTTCCGGCATCTATAAATGGATCCATATCATCTTAAGTGGAGTCAGGGAACCAGACTACTTGAACATTTTAGTTTTTCTTGGTTTTTCCAGCATTTTTTAACACAAATCTTCAAACATGTCAGTGTAACAATATTTGATCTATTATACTAACCCCTCAAATAGTTCATTACTGAAAATTACAGCAAAAGCCAATGATGTACATTCCCTTTAAATAACAGAAACTTCCCTCAGTGAGGGCACACCGTGCAAGGGTCTATTGAAAGAGAGGCTGTGTATTCAATTTTCGATTACTGGAATGGCTTATTACGTAATTGACCTATCGCCGTTCGCGAGTTAGCCACGCCCCTTAAACAACCCTTTGAAATTGTGTACGTTAAGTTTTGTTTGTCTCATATTTTGCGCGTTCCGCGTATATCATGTAATTGGACAATGTTTCACAAGCGACAGGTCAATTGCTTGCAAGTGTTCATATTATCGAGGCCTGCCAAATTCTGGTTCCTGCAAGTTTTAAACCAATTTAATTAATTATGGACATAAACTACAGGGTGAATCAAAATGAAAGTGACCGAGTTAGAAAAAAACAATATTGAGAATGTATGTGGTTTGCTCAATTTAATAAAAAAAATAACAGTGGATTAAAGGTACATGTTCTAAACTTGTATTAGTAGTAACTGTGAAGATTTCACGTAATTGCATACCCTATTCACACGATGTTTCTATTTTAATAGAAATACATGTACATGTACCACACAATTCTGCTGGCCACAACTGATCATTTACCGATACGCATTGATGAATACCATGTCAAAACAATAAACACAGGAAAACAGACAACAACAAGGATCTTGCAAAGGAAAACAGACAAAAATCAACATTCTCATTTCAGAATAAGACTCGATTTATTCCTCAAATACAAAACACAAAATCTGACAGTACAAATAAAGTTTCAGTCTTGACTCATATAAAATTTGCTTGTTGAACTTGAATGCCTGTGTGTAATCTCTGGTTCTCACTGGACAGTGATATCTGGTTCTGTCCATGGACAGCTTTTAAAATTGGTTCTTTTTGTAAAACATAACTTCTGATAGCAACGATCGATTTCAGTATTTTTTTTCCAGATGAGTGGAAGAACAGGCTCGTTAAATACGTGCTTCATTGGTGTATTGAATTTAATTGGGAAAAAAATAGTGTATCCCCGTCATTTTGTTTTTGACTCACCTAAAAGTTTTCGCATGTTATCCAACATTCAAAAGGGCACAATACACCCTTTTCCTTACATCATTTTGCCGCCATTCAAATGACACTGATTAATTAATTTTCGGAAACACGACTAGTGACGTGATGATATCCAATTCAAACACGTCACTTTTATCCTCAGCTTAATCTCACTACCAAATAACCCCCGCATTATGATTTCCAATCCACGTTCAGGCCGCCCATTTCCGGCTCGAATTTTTTTCCACAAAGAATTGCTTTAATTTCTCCGCCACGATTTACGACCAAAGACCAAATGAGTAATGAATAGCGCTCTTCCGCGCTCACGTTCCAGCAAAAGGTGTAAAGAATGCATTCGATTTTAGGCGGGATTTCAGACGCGCTGGGGCGACTAGTCTCACTCTCAAGCTGTTCAAGGTCCACCAATAGAGGAAACAAGCAGATGTGGATAACATACACTGTATTCATTGTGGCACCAGATTCTGTCGGGTAATTTTTCACACGATACTACTACTACTACTAAGGGCAAGGCTGCACAAGCAACGAGTATCTTTCCCATGAAGCCACGTGTCTTATTGGATCGATGACGTCATCAAGGATTTAGGCACACATCTCAAGTCTGCTTTAGCACCTTTATCACAAGTCAGATTTTGTGTACAATAAGGGGTAGAGATGTTACAGCATTTTTCCTATTTTTTTTCAGAATTTTCCTAAAAAAGTGAACAAGCTGTTTGGGTACCGTACAAGGAACATCCCCTTTCCCCTTCACGTACATGTCCATATAACCGAACAGGTAACCATCATGATATCTTTGATAGAAGTGTGTGGTGTAACAGTAATTTGGAGTGTTTCTATGATTGCACCGGGTTGACAATCTTGAGCAGAGATCAAGTGGTTGCCATCAGTGAAACTGAACTGCCGACTAATTCAAAATGGAACCAAACGGAATGATGGAACACTCGTATATCGTATGGATTTATGGCAGCAATCGCCTTTCGGTAGCTGGTAAACATAGTAATCTTAGTTAGGCACATGCTCCATCGTTTATTCGAGTACCAGCGAAGGACACTATGATCAATCCTTTAATCGTTGTTACGGCAAAGCGTGACCAGCTTTTTGTATAACTAATTGAAACTAGATAGCAGAAAATTATGCTTAGCAATTTTAAGCACATTAGCTGTGAACCAATCGTAAGCAATATGCATTGCATGATATTTGGGTGGTTTTTTTTTGCTAAACAGTTAATTTCGTGATATACTTTTGTAAGCAGAAAATTGGCCCCCGGAGGGAACTGTCTCCGGTCTTCCGATAATAATTAATTCAGATTTTCTTTCTTTTTTAATTTTAAAGGTTTCAGACGTCTAGGAGCTGTAGCAATCTCCGCCTGTCATGGGCGGGCAGATGTGGGCTCAGGAATCCAATTAAGAATGTGTATTGCTATGTCAGGTTGTGTCACGCACAGCCTGGTAGGGAAGGGCAGGGCAGCCAGTCTAGTCACTGGAGGCTCTATTCAGTCAAAACTAGTTTGTCAGATACGAGGCTGCAACGTGATGCCTCGGCTAATTAAAAGATGTTACAGTGCCCGCCCAACGGCCGACTCTGGCTTCATGCGGGAGGCGTGTGATACCGTCTTGTAAAACGGACTTGAAAAGATGAGCGTAATCTGCAGAATTTTCTGGGTGTGGTGGTGCCTTGCATGGTAAAATGTGAGTTTCATAGTAATCACGGGTGACTGACGAAGATGACTTGTAATTAGCATCGAAACAAAGGCACACAGTGATCTTTCTTGTGGCGGAAATTATAAAAGAAATGATCTTGAATGTCCTACGGTGAACGCTGAGAGCTATTCACTGTGCGATGTGGTTTGGTTTTGTGGTTATTTGTTTTGCTGGTCCCAGAGGGTCCCCCTAGTGTCATCATTGTCATCATCTCTTCGACGGACTCACTGCCTGACTTTCACT